GGTGCGGGGAGGCGGTGCGGGCCCCGGCCGGCTCCGCGCGGTGCCGGGGTCCTGCCGGTGGGCCTGGGCCGGGGCTCGGCCCGGGGGCGGGGGGGGCTGGTGCGGGGCGTTTGGCTCCTTCACCCTCCGGGGAGAAAGGCCACGAAACTGCCCGTGCCCTGCTGGTTTTGCCTTTCGCTGTACCAGCAGGGCCAGCCCCAGCGTTTGTCCCCATATCCATTCCCACCTTTCGCCTGGAGTAGGCAGCTCTCCTCGTTTCAAGGTTGCCAGCACTCAAGAGTGTCTACCTTAAACCTTAAATCGTCCCTTCTGCCCTCCCCCCCGGTAAAATGGAAGGAGAGGTCAGCACACTCCAATATAAAATCAGGAAAGGTTTTTCTAATAAATACAGGAATCTGAGCAGCTTTTCATTAACTACTATAAAAAGATCTCTTATGCTATGATACCTCCAAAATTATCTTTGGAATGATAAACCATTCGTACAGTGCAGCAGGAGCTTCCAGTGTGGCTTCCCTAAAGTAACTGTAATGCTGCCTTCTGTTAGAAGTTCTTAAGTACGTCAGTAAACCAGTAGTTACGACAAACATCCTGAGGACATAAGAATACAAAGGGCTTATGAAATCAACACTATGGGGATGGCTATTGCAAGAAACTGTGGCATATGGCCTTTCTTATAGGTTGACCAAGCTTGAGTTTAGAAGTACCCAGGCTTTTATTTTGCTATGACTGTTCGTTTTGGATGACTGTTCTGGAGCTCACTTTCTGCAGACATTAATGATCTTTTAGTTTCAGACTGGATTTACTCATAGCTACTTAATAACCATTCTCGTGCCTTCACTGTCCTTTATGTAATGCTCCTCCCTCATGGTTCTGCCCGACAGTGTACTTGGAGTGAGTGAGCATTTGTGTTTTTGCATACTTTTTGTTAAACTAAACAGGCTAAATTCTTTTGGTTTGTAATACTGATTTTCAGTTTCCTTGCTCATCATAGCTCTTTTCTGCATCTGTTCCAGTTTCAGTTCATCTTTCCTGAACGCTGCTGACCAAAATTTTATGGTCTTAATTTCTGTTACTTTAAAAAAATCTTTTGAAAGCTCCTTAAAAAAAAAAAAAGTAGACTCTACAGGAAGCTAGTAGTCATTGGTCAAAAACTATGATGTAAATGAGAATTCATATTGGCTGATCACAAAATGTTAGATATGTGAGCATTTTTGACATAGCATTCTCATACAGCAATATGTGGTAATAGGTCTATTTGTAATCACTGGCTCTATTAAAGAATTATTAAAGAATATGTTCAACTCGATAAAACCAAGAAGCAGTAGCTTGTAGTACTGTGTGGCTATGTTTATTTCTGGTGACCTGTGTTTTTTAATGGCAGTTTAATGCGTGTTTGTCTGTAGTACCTCTTTAATTCCAGCTTTCAGCACATAAGGCTTCATCTTGGAAAGCGTACTTTCTTTTCTAGTGAAGTTTAAAGTGATACATGGGAGATAAAGTTGTTCATCACCTCTCAGAATTGAACTATTCTTTTCCTGCTTGACATTTTCATTTGCAGTGTAGGAGCTGCATAATTTTAAATCTTCTCATACAATTAACTTTCACCTCATTCTAAGAAGTAATCTTAGCTTGTTCTGAAAATCTGTAATTTGTATTTGAAAGGAGTATGTATTGAAAAGGTGCTGCAGCTCCTCACTGACTACAGATGCTTTCATGTGGTCAGTGTTTTTACTGGAAGAAATCAGTTACTCTGTGTATTCTTTTAAAGAATTATAAATTATGGAAATTCACTTCCAGGGCAAACTGGATTGTGTGTCACATAATGAAGACAATGTGGTGTGGGGGAGCTGTGTGTGCTGGGCAGTTTTAGTCTTACTAGAATAGTAATATGCAATTTATGGTATGTGTTCCAAACATCTATAGAATTTACAGATATTTAGTTACATGTTTAACATAAACAAATTGACTGAGTTTTCTTCCCAAATTTGGATGCTTAACTATAAATAGCCTGACTTAAATATGTCAAACTCTGCAGCTCCTGTTGACCTAAATGGGATCTGTGCATATTCAGCACTCTTGAAGATCATGCTGCTTATTAAAGACCTAACTTTAAATGCCTGTATGTATAAATATAAGTAGATAATAAGGCATTTGAATTATTGAGTAGTGATATTCTGACCATCTCTGTGTGGATTTTTTGGTTTAATATCTGCAAGTCAGCAGTACTCTTACATTTCAGAAAAAGTAATAGTTGCAATAAATTGTGCTATGAGATGAGAGGGTTGTATTTCAAGGTAATTCTGTGTTCCAACAAGTGTTGAAATAGGATGACAGATAGATACCCTTTAACAAATTCAGCTTCACTGTTGATGTATATTGGCTTCATGAAACCGTTTAAATAGTTTGAACTAATAATAAACAATTTAGAATTTAAATAATTTCCAATTTCTCATATTAAAATAACACCATCTTTGTGTTTCTATAAGCTATTGCAGATCACAAGCCTCTGGTAAAGTAATAAGTGGAGAGGAACATTTTTCAAGCAAAAAGTGCCTGGCTTGGTTTTATGAATATGCAGGTAATATATAATGGATTCATATTTAAAACTGTATGTTTTTTTTTTTTAAAACAAATTAATACATCAAATGTTGTTTGCATTTTGCTTTTTTTGTGCTGATATAGACATAAAAAATATGTCCATATTTGCTTCCTTATAACCTTCACTTGAGTCAGTGTAGCCTTTACTATCACCTTTTCAGTATTTCTTCTTTTTGACTTTATATTTTTTATGCTTTGTAACTTACCATGGCATTCTTTAAAATGAAATTACTGATGTTGGACAGTACAGTGTTGAACCAGGATATACTGAATGATTCTACTTCTTGATTTGAAATGGGCAAGTAGAAGTCAGGACATGAGAGAGAGTCTAGATAGAAGTTTATTTATCAGATGAGGTCTTGTTTATAATCAAAGTGGAAGGATCATGAAATAGTTTATGATTTAAGCCTCTCGGGTTTTCATTTTACAAAATAAAATAATAGATGCTTATACTGGTTTTCCTGATATTCCATCCTAACATTTTTGATATTCTAAATGACAAATGTTTTGTTCAAAAGTGTTAGAAGTAACCTTTTTCAAATAAATCGGATTTGCTATCTCAGTAATAGTTGCTTTTGGTAAATATGCAGTGTATTTTGCAGAATTTATTAGCCTATTGCTGCTATTTATTTACCAATTATATGGTTAGAAATTCAGGATCTGTAAACTGTTCTTAATTTCTTTTCGTGTCTAGTCACTACTTGAAGTCCATTATAACTAGTTGGTGATTAAAACTCATCAATGGCCAGTTCTCAGTATGAAGTGAGCTGATGATTTATCAACCAGCAATTGGCTTGAGTGTATTTATCAGAACTGATATTTTCCTTGCAGTCTTTCCACAGTAATGAACTAATGATTCTAATTTGCTTTCTAATTTAGGTTAGAGTCATCCTCTTTTGGAGTAAAGGGTCTTTTCTGGGGAAAATAATTGTTATCAGTTAATTTTCTTCTGATAAATGCACCTGCACATACTTTCACCTTTAAGGCCTGTAAATTTTGTTTTTGTTGTTGAGTCAAGCACTGAGTGTAGGAAGTTATACTTAGTTAACCAGTAATCAAAATACACTACTTTTCTAGCATGAAATAGTATTCCAGTGAAATACACCATAGGAGAGTAAATGTTTCCATTAAAAGAGAAAATTATACACATATATATAAATCGCACATGATTTCTGGGTCAAAAGCACCAATTCAAGTTTACACTTGCCATTACAAGTATGTATTTCTCTTCTTAACTTAAACTTGCAATTTTTTAAACACATTCTATGTAAGCCCTTCTCAAAACCAGATGGCAATGTTTTGCCTTGCATACCTAGGGAAAATGATCCTTGACACATTTTTAAAGAGGTAGGGGTTCATGATCTTAAATACCAGTTGCATTTTATTTTCCCGTAAAAGTAGCCATTCTCAGTAGTTTTTATTTACTGTGTCCTTAATATTGAGTAATTACAGTGAGTAAATACTCAAAGTACATTATCCACACTCTTAACTCTGCTTACAGTAACAGCAGTGGATGCAAATGGAGACAGGTACCATCAAGGGGAAAAGAGAAATTGAACTGTTCTGTCTATGTATAAATAGCAGTATTTCCCCCCCCCAAAAAAAAGAAAAAAAAAAACATAAACCAGAATGTTGTTTTGGACAATAATGCCTTTACCTTTTACATGGGTTCAGATTCACTAAAACAATGTTAACATAATGATCCAAGACACATCAAAATAGCATGTCAGGAGGCCTTATAATGATATTTAGTTGCCTGGTAGGAGTCATTTTTGGAACAGACTTAGCAGAAATAGCTGAAACCAGAGAGAGATTCAGAGAAACAAAGCTTTGTAGAGGGTGTATGTATGTGCTCTTTCAATAGGCTGTTTTGCTGGTTTTTAGAGGCTTTATTTGTGTTAAAATGGAAAAGTGACAGCACAACACTAACTGTTATGGTCCTAATCACATTATTTTCATTGCAGTCATAAACCTTTTTGTGCTTTGTACATGGCTAACATGCTTAGCGCTTTTCTGATGTATTGTTATCACTCTCCTCATATTCCTCAGCATCACAAAACTAACCTTATGTTATTGAAGATTCATCCTCTTCTGGTGGTGGAAACTCATAATGTTAATGCCGTTGAAAGAGTAGTATCTGTAATAGTAGCTCAGATTGAATTATTTTTGCTGATAAAGTAAGTCTTTGAAGAGCATTATTCGTAGAGTAACTTGAGCACAGAGTAGAGGTACCCAAGTTGTCTTGAAAACAATTGACCGCCACAATTGCAGTTGAGCTTTGTCAATGGGGAAACTCAGTGGAGTTTTTTTGAAAACTCACTTGCACAGAATAGATAGTTTGCTGTTGTGGGGAGGCAGTGCACAACATGAAAATTTTGGTTTATTTTTGCGTTTTGTTTAGTGTTACTTATGTAATATACATGGCCCCACATTGCAGTCGATAGAACAGTTCTAACATGAAAGCTACTTAATAATGTAATTCAGTGATTTTAAAGGTAGCTTGTATACAATATAGTCTTAATTATTGTTGTGTGTAACCCTTGTGAGCAACGAATGTTACTTAGACTTCAGTCTGGCTTCTTTTTGGTTTTGAAGGTCCCGATGAAGTTGTGGGGCCCGAAGGAATGGAAAAGTTCTGTGAAGATATCGGTGTTGAGCCTGAAAATGTAGGTTTCTTGCACGATACTAATAACACTTTAAAAGAAGGTATTGGATAAGATTAAGTTCTGTGTAAAACTCTTCAGTAAGCAAAGAGTTGTTTATTTTCCTGATTTTAGCAGCTGTTCTAAGGTATTTCAGCTGAATACTTCAATTATGTGTGGCTGGTCTGAGGTTTTTTGTTTGTTTTATTATAGTAATGCTTCATTTTCAGAAATTGAAATGAAGAGAAGGATTGTACATAGCTGAATTATTGAATGGTAATAAATATAACGTGCAAGCATGTACAACAATGCTAGAATGTTTGAATGCTTAGAGTTTTCTTCTTGGACGTCTAGAAATGAGCCTTTTCTTACGTACTGACTCTTTCTCCCCCTTCTCCCTGATGTGTTGATTTTTTTTTTTTTCCCCTAGATTATTATGTTAGTTTTAGCCTGGAAACTAGAGGCTGAAAGCATGGGATTTTTTACCAAGGAAGAATGGTTAAAAGGAATGACCTCATTACAGTAAGAGTGTTTTTACATATATAATAGAATGTTCTAATTTCATGTTTGTACCAGTAGCTTAATTATTACCTTAATTATTGTTGTCCTAAGTTTCTTTTCATTGTCAATAAGACACAGAAGCTTTTGCTTTTAGGTCTGTTCTCAGTCACCAACTGGAAGTAGCTACTGTTCATCAAGTTGTGAATCTGATGAGCTTGTTCAAGTGATGAAGTTTTGTCTAACGCTAATAAGTCAGGTTTTGGTGGCTTCTTTTACTTGCAAACAATATGTTAAAATATCATTCCACTTAGCAGACACAAATAAGTAGATCTGGGATACCCATAAGTGTATCTCAGTACTGATATTCTGGATAGTTTTTACTGATTTTTATGCTTTATAGATGAAGACTGTATTGATAATAATTTTGGTCTAGTGTTATTTATTAGATGCAGGTCAGAAGCTATGCTTAATGCTGAGGTTAAGTAATGCTTTTTCAATTTATATATAAACTTCTGTTTGTAAGATTTTTTGATGAATTAATGCTCTGCCTAAAGAGGTTGTTTCTTACCAGCTTCTTGTGAGGCTTAGTTCAGTTGTCACTTGTTGTTTGTTCTTCATGAAACTACTTACGGTACATGAAGTTTTAAGGGTGACTGGTTATGACACTTTATTCGGTGTTAAAAGTGTCAGGGAGCTATTGTTGCAGCTGCAGCAGCACGGTGGGGAAGAGGGGCCGATTTGGCCCTTGGAGTGGGCACAACTGCACTATCAGTTGTGAATTGGTTTGGGAAACTGAATTGGGCAGATACTCCATAGCCTCAAATAACCAGAGGGTAAGTGACTCTCTCGTGCAAATCGTTTTGGGTTTGGGATCAGGCTTCCAATAGACACTTTGATATTTATTTTTTTTTTGTGGCTGTCAGAAGCTCTTAAATTTATTAAGAGTTGGAATGATTAAATTGCCTGAAATCCAGGACAACAAAGATTAAATTTCTGGGTGCATAATTTTTTAGATGCAGTGAATGGGTGTAATTTGGTCACTTTTCTGAAGTACTTAATTTTTATGCCCAAATGGAAGCTCACAAGAGTTAGCCAGTCTAGCAGAATGGAAGCACAATGATGTATGAAATTAGGCACCTTTTCAGAGCCAATATTGTAGACGTTGTTTCCAATAATCTGCTGTGATTAGAAATCTTCTAGTTCTTCTAAGGACGGAGCTGTCATGCTGTAGGCTAAATGTGTTTAAGACAGAAAATACGGTGCTGCTGTGCATTTTTATGTAAGCAGACTTGTGATCGAGGCACTTGCCTAAGCCTAAACCAGTTAACTTGTATGTTTTGCTTCCCCTGGGTGTGCTCTAATATGAGGCTGTAGACTAAGCAGCTGGATGACGCAGTGACACTCACGTAAAGGAATTCAAGATTTGTTGGCTTAAAGATAATAGAAGTCTATGAACTTGCGCTGTTTGTGCTTACTGGTAAGGGAGGATCATATTATGGATCCCATCTAGAGTGGAGGAATCTGGTTTCTCTTACTACTCTTAAACAGTAGTTTTGAAGAAGGATTTTACACTCTTAAAGCAATGGAGCACTATTACATTCTTGAACAGCTGGATATATTTTTTTTTTAATTTTTGCATAAAGAGTTGACATTAAAATGTATTAAAAGAGAGTATACCAAGTTAGAGTTATATTACAGAATCCTTATTTCAAAATATGTGAAATGACACATAAGGTAACTGCATGAACAGGATTGGTGGAATTCAGCTCCATGGTAAGACACCTAAATGTGTGGTTTATATGCAAGAGCTGGATTTCTTAAACTCTGGACTAGATCTCCAAAGATTGCAGTAAGTATAGTGGAGCCTAGGGAGGTATTCAGCTTTCCCTAAGACCTAGTGACTGGTCACCTGAATTGCTCTTACAGGTTGGTTGCCTAGACCTCTGTGAATGGCAACACCTAAAGCTTAGACACCTAAATCTAATCTACAGTTAGATGCCAACATTTGGGTGCTTGAATCTTGAAGTTACATGCTTTTGTGTGTGGCTTTGTGGTATGCTGATGAAGTTTGCTCTTGAGAGGAGGAGAAAAATAAATATGTGATAAGGTATACACTGTCTAAATTAAGGTGGATCAAGCACTAGTATATCGTGTTGGTACGTGAATTCTGCTCTGTGTATGTGTGTGTATACATGTATATGTATATGAAGGCTGTGTGCCTGAATCTAAATTAATCACTTGAAGCTCTTTTCATAGTCAGCAAAAAGAAAAAAGTACCTCTGCAGGGCAATTTATTTCAGCTATTTTAAACACCTCCTTAGAATGAAATGCATAGCACTCAGGAAGTGACTGTTTATCTACATTTGCTTTAAAGCCATTAGAGGGTGAATAACTTAGAGTTGAGCATTTAACTGTGTATCTGAGTTAAAGAAGAAAAAGCTTACTCGTGTGCTTGTCAATTGTAGGCTTTACAGACCTACAAAGAAAAAAAATCTAGTTACAAAATGAAGGGAAACAGATTACAACTAATGATTTCATTGATATCTACAGAAGCATTTATTTGAACTAGGTAAATGCAAAGAATTTTGTGTGTAAGGAAGTGAGGTGTAAGCAGCTGTATTGTCCTGAGTACTTCCCTTACAATTTGAGCCAAATTTTATGTTAAAAGTTGTGCTTCTGAAAATGAGTGGCCAGGTGAAGGGGAGAGAGCCAAATTAGATTCCAACTGTGGGAAAGATAAGGTCATGATCTGACATTTTTAGGCACAAGAGAAGCCACATAAAAGAGAGAGAGGGGCAGGAAAGTCAGGACTTCTTGCTGTTTGCAGAATTATTAGCAAAAAACAACTTATTTCTGTTGGTTTCAATGATAGCCTAATATCAACTGCTTTTCCAACAAGTTTTTTTGCTTGGTGTTGCCTTTCTTCCTGTTAATGTTGTGAAGCTAACACAAAGCATAGCGTAAATAATTATTATTTTTTTTTATGTCAGTATAGCATTCAATGTATACTGGAATCTAAACAATTTCTGGTCTACAGACCTGTAAACCAAATGACATAATGAAACTATAGCACTGTCAGGGCATGGGAAAGCTGTCTCTTTGCTCTCTAAAGCCGTTACTTCCTTGAACCTCTATCTGTTCCAGTTATAACATGAAATGTAGAAGATCCTGTTTCAGTACTTGAAGAAAGTGGATGGACTAGTTGGATATCCTATCCTTTTGTCCATCTGGAGGACTGGATGTTGGCAGGGGAACTCTTTTGTAGATGAAAAGACCTTCAAACTACTTTACATACTACCATTAAATACTTTTGGTTTTATGTTTGTATACATTTTACTAATTTTTCTTTCTAGTAAAAGTCAAGTCTGTATGAATAATCATGAAATATGAAACATTGGAATATATGAGTGGGAGTTACTGAATCATCACTCTGTCCCTGTTAGCTATGCCTCAGATGAACTCTCTACCTCAGTCAAAATCAAAATAGGACTGCTTTGTGGTGCTAATCTAAATTTTGTTATAAATATGATGTAGGCATGTGAAGAGAATGTAGTAAGCTAATGTCTAGTTTTGTTGGTCTTGAGGTGACATTACTTAATGCTTCTCTTCAGCAAAGGCAGTTCAAGTTACATCTTTTTCTAGTTTCTCTACAGGACTTTGGTGTTAATTCACTTGTGCGAATTAGAAAGTGGTTCTGACTGAAAAAAAAAAAAAATTACTGGTAGGAAGATTACTGGAAGTATGGGTGACCTCAGTCATCTTGTTTATGGTACAGCCACACAGGCGGGTTTATCTCTATAAAAGAGGAGCTTGTTAGCTCCTTAACTCACTAGTGTGAAGAAAATCAGTGGCCAGGTGTAGAAATGCTTTAAATGGCTTTAACAGAGATATCTTCCTGTGTCGGGCTTGAGGGGATGGTGCTTCTCTGTTCTAGTATCATCTGTTTAGCTGTTTAGTTTTAAATAGGTTGACAATAGCTCAGGAGTTTGAAGGCGTAATAATTGCGTGTTTTCATACCAACTTTAAGAGAATCACCTCTACATTAAAATACACATAGCAAATTTTACAGTAGACAATAACAGGAGTTTTACTTTGTACCTAAATTTGTGATTATTTGAACAATTTCAAAAAATATTTTGTAAGAAAGTTAAACAGACTGAAATCTGTGTTTATCCATGGTATATTAAATAACCTGCCAAATTATATTTGACAAAACGTGTGGTAAACCCACTTTAAGTTGTTAATGCATGTCATTAGTACACTAACAACATAAACATTTAGTTAGGTGTTAAATAGGTAGATTTGCCCTCAAATACAGGGGACAATGTTATTGCAGTATGACTGTATAACTGCCAAAGGGCTACCCTGTCACCTGGCAGAGCTGTACGCTCTTCTGCACTGTGGGTTTTCAGACAAATAGCTACTGACTCATCCAGGTGAGAGGCTTATCAGAGCCTGCATTTCTCAGACATGAAACACAAGCAGACAAGTACATTTTGCAGAGTGCCTGTGCTGACACTGGTAAATAGGTACTCTTGAAGTGTCAATTTAGGGTTTTTTTTTTCCAAAAAGATATGGCATAAACCCCTTATTTACAACTTTACAAGATTACAACACCTTAATGGACACCAAATACTGTTTTCTCCAAACTTTCATCGGTGCTGAAAGATAAGATAGTGCTGGGTATGAATATAAATTGCAGAGTATCACATAAAGACTACTATTTGAGAAGTAAAACAGAGACTTTGTATTATGTTGCTGATACATTTTTTAAAAACTTGCTTACAGCAGCCAGGCATTCGTCATTTCTATAAGCTGCAAACATTGAGCTTGTTCAGTGTTTAAGTCACTTTCATATTATTACTTCTGTACATCTGATGATTGGTTTTGATAATTTTAATTTTTTTATGTTTGGCAGTTTTTTCATTGTCCAAATATTTTGTTTTGAACTTCTAACATAATTTGTTTTTCTTTATTTTAAGGTGTGACTGTACAGAAAAATTACAGAGTAAATTTGACTTCTTGCGGTCACAATTGAATGACATTTCATCCTTTAAGAATATCTACAGATATGCCTTTGATTTTGCAAGGGTAAGATTACTGGAATGTTAGAGAAATTCTTATTTTAATTATTCAATGAGCTTGTACTTGAGTGTTTTTTGTGCTTTCTTTTTTTCAACCTTAGGATAAAGACCAGCGAAGTCTTGATATTGATACTGCAAAATCCATGTTAGCTCTTCTGCTTGGAAGAACTTGGCCACTGTTTCCAGTATTTTATCAATACCTGGAGGTACAGTTTCCGTGACTTTCTGAATAATAGCATAGTAGTTGGACTGTTCCATGAAAAGATTTCAGGGTTTGTGTTGTTTTGCTCAAGAATATATCCATATTGCTCCTGTTCCCTTGCTTGATGTGCTTCTGAAACAGTGATGTTCTTTTGTACATCACAGATCCTTTTCTCCCTCTCTGTACCCCACCCTCCCCCCTTCTCTTATCAAAGGCAACTAACATTCTCTTGGACTATAAAGGTAAATTTAAAATTAAATAGTAGAGTCCAAATAGTCTCTTCATCTGCACCTGTGCTGAATTTCAGGTTTGCTTTGTGTGAATACAGTATGTGGGTACTGTGAGCTCTGGCTGTCTCTGCAGGATTATGGTCAGCTCAGCTGCATGTGACTTAGCCAGTAATGTGGACGTGTGTAGGCTGTGGAGCACACGAGGCTTGAGACTATTCCCTGGTTTCAAATTAGTACTAACATTGCAAAGTAGATGTCCTTATGATCATACTGTATTGTACACTGGAGAAAAGAACATTTTTGTAATCATTCTTTCTGGAAATATATCAGAGCTAGGTATACCCTTCTTCAGGGCAAGATGAAAATTTGCCAGTTTTTGAAGTTTAAGAGTGGTGACTTCCTGATTACCTGGTATTTTGATTTTGCTCTGATCTTTCAAAAAACCATTTTATGTAGTTTCAGAACTATGAAATAAGCAAATGTGTAGTATTTTAAAAAATGGAAAACCAAGGAAATAGTAGCCCTTGTTATCCATTAAATTGTTTGGTAGGAACTGATTGAAGATAAAACAAAAGAAATGAGAAACAAGATGCAGCATTACCAGCTGTCACTTGACATTGTAATGTTCTGAAATTATTTTCCCTAGCAATCGAAGTATAGAGTTATGAACAAGGATCAATGGTACAATGTCCTAGAGTTCAGCAGAACTGTCCATGCAGATCTTAGCAATTATGATGAAGACGGTGCTTGTAAGTATTCATAACATTTTGCTTATTCAACTATTATTTCATTGTTTTCAGTTTGCAAAAAATGAATTTCTGTAATGGAAACAATACTGTAAGGTATAAAATATTTCTTCTCTAACAGTGCATAGAAAAACTATCTTGATAACCATTCGTCTTCAAACTGCAGGTATTAATTGTAGTAGTCTGTCAGGGGTATGATGGTGTATTTGAGCTAACTTATATTCAGTTGAGGATCTAGTGAAGCTGCTTGCAGCATGAAACTATAGAATTGCAAATAGAATTATAAACAGCAAGCTCTTATTTTATACTAATATATAATAAACTGTAGTTTAACTATAAAGTAGCCTAGCTGCTGATACTTGGGGTTGAACTCTACACCTGGCTGACAGTCAGTTATACTATGACTGAATTGCATTAGGCATCCCAGTTTGGTCCATTTTTTAATTATGTGTAATTTTGAAAGCTCTAAGCAGAAGGACTTAGTTGTGCCAGTTTACAATATAATCTTATTTTTATGCTTTCCATTCAGTTCAGTGCATTGTAAGATGTCAGGAGCACTTTTTTCAATAGTTGTGTAGTGTTATTTGTGCATGTTTTGCTACCTTCGGAGTGAAATGATTATAGTCATATTTGAGCTTTAAGTATTTGACCATAGGATTGACATGGATGTTACCTAGACCAATAGTGTTAACCTCCATGCTTTAAGAGAAGATGTTTGAAAGAAATATAACTGAGTTTCATCCATTTGCAGGGCCTGTACTTCTGGATGAATTTGTTGAATGGCAAAAAGTTCGTCAAGCATCATAGCAAGAATTCAAAAGAAAATGCAAAAGCTTTTTTGGTGCCCGCCTGTACACAAACCAATGAGAAAAACAAAGGATTGCATTTTCATTCTTAAGAAAGACTTTACAGTATTTTTTTTTTCCTTTTTTAAGGAAACTTTCTTGCTACACGTGATATGGGCATTGAACCACACCTCTTCTGAGACTGAAAGTTGGAGTTCTTGTTTTGAGTCTTATGTTTATAGCATTTGTTTCAGAACAATAAAGATTCAGATTTGTGACAAAGGCCTAAAAGTGAAGAATGTCCCTTGAATGTGAGTGTGGTGTCTATTTTTAAAACCAAATCTTTAGGATTATCTTTCTCAGAAGTGCCCTTTGCTATGAATTTTTGAAGACCTTAAAAATGCTTAACTGGCACTGTTCCTTGCTGATAGTATGATTGTCTTGCGTGACAAACATTAGAAAGAATGACTAATTTGTGGAGCCCTGGGTGGGAGTGTGCGTATTAAGTATTGGTCATGGGTTGTGCCACAGTTTTCAGCTCCTTGTGGAGATAAAGGCCTTAAACTCTTGTTTTTTTCTTTTTTGTGCAGTACCCACCCAGTGGCATGGCATTTAATAGCAGGCCCTTTTAAAGCAGAGGGGTGTGGAGCGTATGACTCTACATGCAGAATGGCTGAAAACTAGTTGCCTGTGCTTCAGATGGTGAACACAGATACTCTTTGGTACCGTAAGGCAGCTTCAGACTTTTACTACAATTTAGACTTTGGATTGCTTTGTATAAAAAGTGCAATTTATATTTTAAAAGGGAAAGCTGGAAATGCTTGGTTTCAAGCTTTGCTTCTTATGTGTTTTAGACTTGAAGCATTCACAACATGACTTTTTTTTATCTCCCTGGATGCTTTTCATAATGTAAGTCAAGAAGAAACTATTGAAACATATACCTTTGACCTGAATATAGCAGGCTATTAATTTTTACCCTGTTACTCCATGTATTGAGTCTAATAACTACTGTGATTGCCTTTTTGGGCGCTCAGTATTCATGGCAACCTTTAAATACAGTAGGTTTGTCACTCTACCTTCTGCCCAGGAGGCCCAATGCAACCCTTGTGAAGGAAAGAGATTTTAATGAGTAAATGTGAGAAACCAAAACAGAATGAGAGATGGAACCATTTGTAATTTCATTATATAAATATATTATGTAGTCTGTGATAATGCCATGAGACTCAGTCAGTGATCAAGGCCTCATTGTGCCAAATACTTCAACAGCTTGAAATAAGACTAGACAATGTAAGCTAGGCATGACTTGAAGATCTTTGCCTCAGGGAAATGACTTCTGTTTTGCACATCCCTTATTCATACTAACAAGCTGGAGTTTTCCTGTCCTTAAGGAAAGCTTTATTCCCAAGATGAAATTTTTCTTTTACAAGGAGGGGGGCGGTGGGAGAAACAGTGTGAGAAGAGCTAATGAGAAGTGGGACAAAGTAGTAGTGTGTGCCTATGTTCTTCTTCTACTAGAGAGGACCATTCTTGCAATTTACTCGCCAGACCTGCTTGGTGTGGCTGCAGGAAGCAATGCAGTGGTGGTCCACAGGCTGTTCTGCAAGTCACCTGATAGTGCTGAGATCCTCAAAGTGCAGTTGAATCTTAGAAGCTTGGTTCTGCCCAAGTGAAGAAAAAAAAAAAAAAGCATTGGGGGGGTAGGGAGGGGGCAGGGAACCAAACCAAACAACAGCTGAGATTCTTGGATGGCGTCTGCTTGTATGGTGGCTAGTGTCTGTGTGCATGTAAACACACACACACTACAGCTGTTCTAAATATTTTCCCACCTTTTTTAAGGGAAGTACTTAATTTTATACCTCACATGGGCTACAGCAGTTCTCTTCAATATATTTCAAGTTGTCCGTTTGCATTGCTGATAATTCTGATTTCACTCATTACAGAGTGCCTTTCATTTGGAAATTGCCCTGCCCCATGGAAAGCTAGTGCCAGAATGAGATTAATGTCAAGAGTCTCAAGATCTACTGGTAGAGTAAGGTCCTAAGATGCATAGATAAACATGCACCAATTAACTGATGTCAAGGGAAGTACTGCTGTATAGTAAACCTCTGCAGGGGCACTGATTCTGAAATTGCTTTCTAAAATTCAGTACAATGATGCTCCTTGCTTATTATGTTTAGGCCCCATTATAACTGGGAAATTCTCAGAAGTTTTGAAAAACCGGTTAGAAGATGAATATTTGATAGTGTGATTTAAAAAAAAAAAAAAATCATCTTTTTTTAGGTAACTGCGAATTGTTGTGAATTGAATTTAAACCAGTTGGTCCTAGAGGATGGTATTAGTCTAACAGTAGGAGTGATGCATCTACCAATCCAAGGTGGTCAAATACTTACCGTTAAGGTGTAAGACACTATGTGATGTATCATTTGTATCTCTGTTAAGGTTTTATCAGTATTCCTATAATAAATCCGTGTTTCAGGGATTTATAACTTGGTTGTGTGTATGATTGAAAATCATCAGTTACTGTAAAACTTTGACTGGGAATGAATGTATTTAAACTACTTAAAATCAATATAGTTTTTCAAATTTGAATAAAATAGGATTTTAAGTTATGTTTTTGTGCTCAAAACTGCAATCAGATTTATTGTTTAAATGTGAACTAATGGCTTGTACAGTTTCATTGTGAGCTGATCACTCTATTAGCTGTCTTTTATTAAATCACCTTACAGCTTACTGTGGATAAGTGCCAAAAGCTGTGTATTTATTTTATTTTTTTTAATTTTGTGTGTGTCCACAAGCCAAAACTGAGTTCAGCTAAGTGCTTTCTTTAGTCTTTGACCTTTAATTTTGCTTTGCTCAGGTGCATTTCAGTCTATTGAGTTAAAAAAAGTGACAACTTATTTTTCAGTATTCTACGATGAAAGTTCACAGGTGAAATATGCTGCCACAGTTATGAAAATAATAAAATTGAAGGTGAAATGTCTTCCAAAACTGAATCATAGTGCTGTCTATATTGGTGTTATAAACTTCACTTTAATCTCACTTGCATTTGATGTTAATTCTTCCTATCATAACTGATTTTTTCTAGTTTTCTTAGACAACTGACAGTTTCAGGTTTTAAATCTGAAAATGCCCACCTGTTCATGGAAAAAAGCCATACTGGTAGATTGGAATGTAAAGTTCCTCTTATGTAAAAATGTGATCTTGTAAACAGTCATGTATGTTTACCTGTGTCTTTAACTGTATATGTAGTTTTGATCCAATTTCTCTTTACTGTTTAAATGTCTAATTCTTTACTAATGGCTGTAATTTCACATTTCTATATAGCAGAATTTGAATTTTGCTTTTGAGATTACTGTGGATACAAGCTTGGTACCAATCACAGGTGGCCCAAAAGGGGGCGCTGTGGTCTGCTTTTCCATTTGTAAGGTCTTTTCGTTTCTCTCAAAAAGCTTTGAGCTGATATGTTGATACTGACTGCACAAAAATTGCAAAAGGGACCATAAGTTTAATGTTTCTGATGTTTTGTTCATTTTTTAAGTGAGTGAACAGTTCTTTCAATGTGACATGTACAAACTTGTACAGGTTTAGCTTTGTTAAGTATGACAAATAAAATAGTATGTAATAGGGCAGAAAACATTTTTTTTTTTGTCATGCTTCCTCCTTTAGTTTTTTTTTCTTTTGCGTTTGTATAACTGTTCTTAAGATCACTGAGAGACTTAATTCCAGCAAGATGGCTCAGTCTAATTTCTAACTTAATCTTACTGAATAATTTTTTTGCTCCTGTGGGCACATAGTAAAAAAGGGACCTGATCTCAACTGGGAGCAACAGCAAACACTATTCTTGATTATATATCCCATGTTATTAGGTGCTGATAGAACATAATGGTCCTGGTAATTAACTGTCATGAATTATTCATTGAATGAACACTATTCCAACAGCCTGTTGCCATGCATGCCTATGAAAAGAGAATGAGCTTTTCTCTCTTCCCCAGCCTCCTCCCTTCCCCTTCCCCCCCAGCACATCGCCTGGGTCACTGGTCGGTTTTTAAGAAAGGACTATGTGTTTTCTGATGTGCCTTTCCATAGGGTCTTTCAAAGCCAGCATCCCATCATATGTTTGAGTTAGTGACACGGATTTCCTTGCAGATACAGCTTGTTCCATTACTTGACACTTCATAGTTGTTTTTTTTTCCATACCTGCCTCAGGACACTTCCCTCCCGAAGATCATCATTCTCTCTCAGACCTAAGGCAATGCCTCTTTGTTGTCTTCAGGGTTCCACTTTATCTGCTTTTAATAATGAAATTCCCGATGTCTTTCTGGGTCGGTAGGACGTTTTAAGGTATGCAAACCATCTTATTGTATCTACAAGCAACGGTAACAGTTTGGTTACTTCTCCTTACCCTTCTCTTCTGTATTGCCATTCAGTATTTCATTCTGCCACTCTGGGAAAGGCCACAGTAGTGTTAGGCAGGGATATCTAGGCCTGAACACGTACTGCAAGATGATGTTGACTACTGTTATTTTTATTTTTAATCTACTGCCAGGCTTGTCACTAAGATGAAACTAGTTCCTCAGACTTGTATAGCACTTCATCCAGACTCTAAACTTTAATCTTGCTCCTGTTTTTATCTTAGCTAATCGGAGTATGGCATTCCCTGTGTGTTGGGATTTAAAAAAAAAAAAAGCTCAGCAACTTGCTGTAATTACAATGACAGAAGATGTAAGTTTTTGAATTTGTCTGTTTTATACGCCTTGCAGTGGACAGATTTTTATCTTAATGAGCTGGGTACTATTTCTTAATCTAAGTTGGTTTCAACCATGTTTCTGTTTTCTTACTACTTTATAAATTATTAGAATGTTGTGGTTTCCTCTGGAAACTAGGCTATTGATAAGGATGCTTCAAACACGTAAAAAATCTCAGCATCTTAAGTTAAACTTTTTCCCTAATTCTGACAACTTAGAAAAAGAATCGCTGTGGTTTAGGGTTTTGTTCGTGTGTGTATTTTTATCAGCTCAGTAGTGAATTAGTGCTGATTATAAAATAAAGGTATTTTCATCTGATTTAAATTATAGCTAATATACAACTTAGTTATTTCCTTACTGCTTTTAGAATTATTTAATTTTTAATTCACTATAATAAAATGCACAGTGAAAGTAAAGGGCTAGAACATAGTATTGCCAGCTAATTTAAGTTTTTTCTGATAATAGCACTGAGGTGATTCTTCTTAGCTTTTTAAATATTAGAATATTTCAGGGAGGTTTATTGTACCTATTGCAGTAATTACAATAAAATGCTAGATGTGACTTGTAGCCTGGTAACTACTATAGGCAGAATGTGAAATTGTTTTGCATTCAAAATCATGTAACTCTAAACCAGTTTTCCTAGCGAAAGAGGAAATATTCTATGATGTAATGTCTTTCAATGGTAAAAAATTTTGAAGAAATATGTTAAACTTCAACAGCTAATATTACATCCTCGTTTAGCTGCTCAATGTACTTCAGTTTGAACATGGAAAAAATGTTAGTTAGGAAACGTGAATGAATGATTCAGAACACAACTGCAATAAATGATTATAAATCCATGAGAAATGTAAGCACTATAGTTTTTTTCAAATTGTAGCACGAATAGAAAGAGGAACAATATTTCTATTATGAGTAGGTCCTCTGTGTACCTGGCGCTTGCTTCAGAGTTGTGCTTTTGTGTAGTAGTTTGAGGTACTGATTCTACTTCTGTGGTTCTACAAAACAAAGAAAACAGTTTATTCCCTCACCTGTGATTCATTTTTCCATGAGGGCTAAGTAGTAATACAAAGCAAAGACCAGTGCTGGAGTTCCAAGGGCTGGGGGGAGGTTATGACACTGATTTGTGCCATGATATACGATGGAAATATTCATGGCACATGGGAAAGAATAGGAAATATCTTTGAAAAATGGTAGGATATGATTGTATTTTACTTTATTTCCATGCTTATTTAACCAGGGGAATGTTCCAGTTTCAGGGTTGTAGTCTGTTTATATATGTGCACACACATCTATATATACAAGAAAATAAATATGTGTTTCCCATCTGGCTTTCAACCTGGTGGAAACTCCCCGTGAAGAGCTTGGAGGTGGAAGGAGAATTTGAAAGGCGATTCAGTTCTCCTTAACGTTTTCCTGTATCCTGTGTGCATTTTGGAGGCTGTGGAGGTGGCTGCTCACCTTTCATACCAGTGCTAATCACTAACCTTCCTCAGTCGTGGTTTTCCTGCATTTGAATGGTTTTGTCCTAGAGGAGCTGGTTTAAAGCTTTGATAGTGAAATGCTGTTCCTTCCTGAATCTTCAGGAGGCTTTAATTATATGGTTTGGGTTTTTTTTTTTGTTCGGCCTGCCTTGAGATGACGGTTACTGGCTTAAAGAATGAATATTCATTCTGCTGTGGGAAAATCTTGTTGTAGAATTGGAGATGCCAAACCTAACAGTATTCATAGGAGGATGATAATTTTTGCTGACACTTTGAGTAAACCATCAAGATAATCATGTGCCAAGACCTACCCTTTACCAGTGTTTCTGACTTCTCTTTTATAATAAAAAAAAATTTGTTTATGGAACTGTGATTACAATGTATAATTCTTAAATGAAATGCTCATGACTTTAACAATATAGGGTGTTAAAGTTTGTGGAGCTTCGTATATTTTTGTGGTGCAGTGAGTACTGTGCATTGCTCAATGGAAAACCACTGGTTTCTGAAGTCATGGGAAAGCAGCTTAAGTGTCCGCTGTTTGTGAGCAGCGAATAAGCTTCAAAACACAGTACAACTTGCTATTTTATTTTTTGATGCTCATTTTAATTTCCTAATGTAGGAAATTAAAGGGAACATACTCATCAGGGAACATAGTCATAGTTAATAATGGAAAGAATATTACTTTTTTTACTAATTCAAGAGTCTGGGGGACAGGTGGTGTTCTAGCATGTAAGGCTTCAGTTTCATTTTACTAGGTACTGTGTTATTAATAAAACTTTTGTCCCAACCTATTGACTTACAAATAAATACTGTGCTTATGCTTTGCATGGTGCTTGTCTTTTAACTAGAACATTCCTGCAATCATAATATGAAATATTTCCCTTTTAAGGAAAATTGCTCAATTGTAAGCAATATTGTTCAATACTTACTCCTTACAAATGAAATCAAACCAAGAACTTGTTTTCTATTACTGGTGTTACCAACGCAAGAGAGAAAATCACGTCTTTTCCATTTATTACTGTGTTTATACATTTCTTGAATGTTTTGGCCTTGTTTACCTCTAAGATTAAATTTGTGTTAGCATAGTTTGAGTTCTCCAACGATGATTCTATCCTGTGATTATTTTCGTTAAATTTTGTCTTTTGGAAGTAAATAACAGGGGCCCACTTCTCCAAACACATTTAAGATTTCATCCTTACAGAAGTTAGCTTCCACATTTATTTTTAGGCCCTTCTAGCTTCAATTTTAAAATGGTTCCTCCCTGGATTTTCTGCCATCGCTGAAATAGCGGCTCCCGTAATTACACCAGAAGCAGTAAATGCTAATTGCTGAGTTTCTGCTGCTTTGAAATAGGGGGTGGGAGAGAGAGGAAGTGCTCACGTGTAGCTTGGATTGCAGGCCAGGTGTATGTGTACATCACTTGGGCTACAGTTTGAAACGTGTGAAGTTGGCTGAGTTTCTTTTAAGTTTTTTGCTGTATGTCATCAAAAAATAGAGATTGCCACATTACATTATGCAACATCTTCATAGATTTAGAAATGGTGGGGAGTAGCAAAGCACAGAGAAACAGAAGGAAGTCTCAGGCAGTGTCTGAGATACTGAGCTCCTGGCTGGTCTAGTGCATTGGGCATACAAAGTTAGCTGGTCTGAATTTTCAGATTTTGGATGTTTCCTTATGCAGGTACCTAACATGTTACACAGTGGGCCTCTTTTTAAGAAGATTTGAATATCCAAAAATATTGGCACTTGTCCTTTGTGATGG